CTGTCTACAAGCCTCTACGCCTGTTCGCTCGCGAAGATTTCGAACTACCGCCACATCAAGAACGAATTGTGACCCTGATCTCTAAGGACATCGACCACGGTGACGTCTTGGTGTCCCCTTCGTCGACTTGCGTCGCAAAAGGCATAGCCCTTGCATCAGGTGTCGTACGCGTTCACCATGGCTCCGCGCTCGTCCTTGCTACGAATGAAACGCCAGAGAAAGTTCTCCTGCCAGAGGGCACTGCAGTAGCCTGTGTTGTGGATGCTGAGCCTGTGAGCGTCACGCCACTTAACCCTGCCTCTACCAACGACCGTTCTATGAGTAAGCCTGCCTCATCCTCTCCCTTCACAGCTCTTATCAGTGATGACTTAACAGCTATGCAGGCGCAGCAGTTGCTTGCGTTATATTAATGAAACACGCCGATTCTTTCGACACCTGCTCCTCAACGTTGGGCCGAACTACCACTGCTGCGCATCGCATTCAGACGGAGGGAACATCTATTGTACATCGCCGCCCGTACCGCGTGTCTCTCGCTGAGCGAAAAATCATCGAGGAAAACGTCGCTGACATGCTCCAACGAGAAATAATTCGTCCATCAACTAGCCCTTGGTCATCCCCTGTTGTTTTGGTACGAAAAAAAGATGGCTCCGTGCGCAATTGCGTTGATTACCGGGCACTTAACAACATCACACGCAAGGACGTATACCCCATGCCACGCATCGACGACGCCCTTGATTCACTGCAAGGCGCCGAATACTTTTCAAGCCTTGATTTGCGTTCGGGATATTGGCAAATTCCCATGCACGATGACGACAAAGAAAAAACAGCATTTGCAACCCCCGATGGCCTATACGAATTTAACGTGATGCCTTTCGGGCTCTGCAATGCCCCGCGACGTTTGAACGCATGATCGACACCGTCCTGCGTGGTCTGAAATGGAAGACGTGTCTCTGCTACCTCGATGACATTATCATCTTTTCATCAACGTTTTCTCATCACCTTAGCCGCTTGAATGACGTCCTAACATGCCTCGCCGGTGCGGGTCTGCAGCTCAACACTAAGAAGTGCCGTTTCGGCACCAAATCCATCAAGGTTCTCGCTCATGTCGTCAGCAAGGACGGTATTCGCCCTGACCCCGAAAAGATCGCTGCCGTCCTTCGATTTCCATGCCCCACAAGACTTAAGGATTTGCGAAGTGTTCTTGGCCTCGCATCATATTTTCGTCGCTTCATACGAAATTTCGCTTCAATAGCTGCGCCACTTCACAAACTACTTGCATTTAATGCACCCTTTGTGTGGTCCGAGGAATGTCAGTCGGCGTTTCACTTATTGAAGAAAGCTTTGACGTCAGAGCCTGTACTCTGCCATTTTGATGACACCGCCCCAACACTCCTGCATACCGACGCCAGCGGCTGCGGTATAGGTGCTGTTCTCCTCCAACGCGATAACTCTGAACGGGAAAGGGTCATCACATATGCTAGCCGAGTGCTAACTTCTACCGAAAAAACTATACCATCACTGAGAAGGAGTGCCTCGCTGTGGTTTGGTCCATACAAAAGTTCCGTCCTTATCTGTACGGCCGTCAATTCACCATCATAACGGACCACCACGCCTTATGCTGGCTTTCTACTACGAAGAACTTGTCAGGACGCTTGGGTCATTGGATTTTACGCCTACAGGAGTATCAGTTTCAGATTATTTATAAATCGGGCAAAAAAACATCAAGACGCCAACGCTCTTTCTCGTTGCCCACTACCTATGGCGTCGTTCGACACTCCAGCTGCCACCTCCAACGACACCAGTGCGGACGTGACTCCCACTTCTGTTGCCTTGCTCGCCTCGCTGTACCAACCGCCAATCGACGATGAACAACCCTTCAGTTCTCGCCAGCAGGCTGACCCGTATTGTCGGCGCATTATAGACCACCTTTCAGGAACTACGCGTCCACCCAATGCACGCCTTCGTCGACAACTCGAGCACTTCAAGTTTCAGGACGGTGTGCTGTATCATCACATATATCATCCTGACGGCCAACGCTGGGTACCTGTTCTGCCACGCGCTCTTCAACATCATGTACTTAACGCCTTTCATGACGATTTGGCTGCTGGCCACCTAGGCTTTCACAAAACCTACGACCGCATTCGAAGCCGCTTTTATTGGCCTGGGATATCTACCAGCGTAGCAAAGTACGTGGGTTCCTGCTCTCCATGCCAACTTCGCAAACTTCCGACATCTCCCCCGGCTGGTCAGTTACAGCCAATGACGTGCCCTACAACACCTTTTCAGGTCGTCGGTGTCGATCTTTATGGACCCCTTCCTGTTACTGGTGCTAAAAATAGATGGATAGTCACCGCCGTAGACCATATGACACGCTACACCGAGACAACTTCAGTAGCTACTGGTGCAGCATCGGGAGTTGCTGACTTCGTCCTTCAGGCCATAATACTACGTCATGGTGCTCCTCGTGTACTTCTGAGTGACCGTGGAAAGGTGTTCTTATCACAGCTTTTAGGTGAAGTTCTTCGCGTTTCTGGTACCACACACAAGATGGCGTCTAGCTACCATCCTCAAACAAACGGTCTGACCGAGAGATTTCATCGAACCCTTGCCGACATGATCGCCGTATACATTCAACCGGATCACAGAAACTGGGATAAACTTCTACCGTTCCTCACTTTCGCCTACAACACCGCTGTTCAGCGCACAACCGGCTACTCACCGTTTTATCTCGTTTACGGACGTTAACCTACTTTCTTTATCGATGTTTCCTTCTTCACCAGCAATGGCCCTACATCACCATCTTCTTGCGAAGAATATATTTCTCGCCTTGCCCAGTGCCGCCAGCGCGCTCGTATGAACACGGAAGCTACGCAACAAGCAAGGAAGGCCGTCTACGACACCTCTCATCGTGTGGTATCATTCCGACCGGGTGACGAGGTGCTGCTATTGACACCAATTCGCACACCTGGTCTCTGCGACAAGTTCCAGCCTCGATTAATCGGCCCATATGTTGTTTTAGAGCAGACTTCACCTGTCAACTATCGTGTGACGCCTTTTGTCGTGCCAGCTGACCGCCGTTACCGCAGCACCAAAATTGTACACGTTTCCCGCATGAAGCTTTTCACACGACGTTCCTCGTCACCTTGACTACCCGCCCGCAGGGGCCAGGCTGGCCGCTTCCACGGGGGGGGGGGGGATCAGTGTAGGCATCTATTATGCGCTTCATCGTCATCTGAACAGCAGTCAATCATCATCATATGTTCTGGCTGACAATCATCATCTTCTTGGCACGAGCGCTTCTTGGTCGGTCCGTTGCGCTTGTTCGTTCCCGAGTTCACGACGAATAAACCTCGTTACAACCGAATCGTCATATATATATATATATATATATATATATATATATATATATATATATATATATATATATATATATATATATATATATATATATATATATATATATATATATGGAATGAAGAGGCGGGCAGCACACTTGATAAAGGGTACTGCTTTTACTAACGTTTCAGCCCAGAATAAGACTACATAAAGTTAATAAAACATTTTCACTTGCAGCATAATTGAGTTTACCAGTTGCGCTTGTACATCTCTGTACGCGCATCCTTGGTGAGAGAGAGGGGAAGAAAGGAAAATAAGCAGAGCTGCGCTTGTGTGCTCATTTGCTGTACGAGTTGTATTTTGAGCTGCAAAAGTCAATTCAAGTTGAATGAAAACCTACTAGCCCGACTATTATTTAGCCCCCATAGGGCAAAAAACCACAAACTTTTACCATCTTTCTCATCCAAGGGATCAAGTAGCAGGGCAAGCTTAAACGCTGAGCTTCCCACTGCGCTCGAGTCCACTGCTTTATTCGTCGCTAGCTTGCAAGCTTCCAGCACCGCTCCAAGGTGCCATAAGCAAGGCTGCATGATCATGTTGATAGTGGGCTAAAGCGGAAAGCTTTTTTTTGCGCTTCAAGTACGGCAAAACTCAAACATTAAAAACAATTCCTCACACTCATAGGCTCGCAGCAGCTTCGACAGAGCAGCGGTGATGCTCGGTGAAAGAAAATTATTTTCTTGAAGCAGCAAGTGCTTTGACTGGTTCATTAAGAGCTTGCTCATTCGCCTTTGTAGTTGCATCGATGAGGTACAGCAGAAAAAAAAGCCTTAACAAGTGATGTAATGTTACAGTCCTCCTGTTCAGCGCTAGTCTGCTCTGCTATGCTACAGCAAAAGGCGCCAAAGTGTTACATAGACGGCCCACACCGCAAAGAGCATCCAAGGAAAATGTTGTGTAAAACATCGTTGGTGCAAACTTAAAAGAACACAAAAGTGCAAACTTAAAAGAACACAAAAGAAGATAATCAAGAAAAATCTTCACAGCAGAAATATTGGAAGAGTTTCATATATGTAAGGTTCCTTCGCAATATTTTCATTGCCCCGTAACACATACCTGAGTGAGTACTGTGGTGAAGCAAAACTTGACCTTCATTGTTGGCTCCCCCAGCATGCATCCAACAGTGACGACTGTCGAAAGTAGGGGGCCTGGTCCCGCTACTTTTCATCAGTGGGGGGCTAGCACCCCCCTTGACCCCCCCCGGCTGATACGCCTATGCCAACCATTCACCACGAGTGTGTAGCTCTCAGGACAACCACCTGTTTTCTCAACTTTAAAAAACACATTTCCAGGGCAGGAACTTAAAAATGAAGAACATCATCACTAGAATTTTTATATTAATCTTTTGTAAAGAAGTTGACCAACCAAAAAAACTTTTGTGTGGAGCGGAATCAAATGCTTGCCTAGATATTACAACGAAAGAACATTACGAGCAGTATGAGCAAATACTAAAGTTAAATGTGTCTTTGTCAACTAATGAAGCTATTTCTTAGCTGTAGCATGAAGAAAAATAAAGCACTACCTTAATTCACTCCCAATCCAATAAATTCATGAAATTTTCTCATCTAAAAGATACACAAATGAAGAGGCCCATACAAGCAAGATACAGGAAGAAAGGACAGTATATATTTATAGATTAAACAGCAATAAATACACATTTGGTCACAGTAGAAATGTTGCTGAACATGGATAACCTACAACACCCACAACAGGATCACTAAGGGGATGAGAGGCAAGTGTCACAAGAACCGAGTGTTGATGCTGTATATTGTGTCAATGTGCAGAGATAGAGGGGATGCTGTGCTCACACCAAAACGCTTCTATTGCTGTGGGCAATGACTGTACAATATGGGTCTAACACATTACACATTTAAGAACTCCTGTCATGCTCTTCAACATGTATTTTTTTGCTGTAGGCAGCAAAATGTAACTGTCAGTTAAAAAAAATTTTCTGCAGCGTGCCATTTGCTGTACACATTGCCGAGCTGGTGGACACAGCACATTGGTATACAGGACGTATAAACATGAAAATTAAAACCATTGAGTGCAAACTAATCTAGCAGCTAGGGCATAAAAGTGCTCCCATTTTTAGTGCAGTAAAGTCAGGATGAGCCTGTTCAAAGGTGGGTATCAAATATTTATATGTACATGTGATACAAGATAAAATGCCACAATAAGGCTGAGCAAAAAAAAGGAGAAAAAGATATGACCAATGAAAAGAAAAATCAATTAATGGGGCGAAAAAAATTTTAGCATCTGGTGTCACATTTTGGGAAACCAGGTATAAGTGCTTTACATCTGCAATTTAGAAATGAGCTGAATAATAAAAAAAAATGATTTTTACTGGCAGCACAGATTGTCACAATATTACATTGCTGTGACATTGCCTGTGAATTGTAAGAGACAACAATTTTCATCGAAGGACTCAATTTTTCTTTCACAGGAAGACACCCAAGTTATTGAACCATAAAGAAAAAGACAAAAAGAGCATGGAAGCTACAAAATGCAAATTCTGTATGAGAAAAATGGTGTGTTCCTGATTATCGGTAAAAATTAGGCACACCATATCCCTCTAAGTGCCAGCTAGGTTAAGATCAAACATATTTCATTAAGAGATTAGAGGCTGCACGAAATAAATTCTGATGAATAGAGAGCACCAAAATTTTTAGTAGTTGCCACACACACTGATATTATGAATGATTTTTGTTTGTATCAAACCTAAGTTGTGGCAAACACGGTAAAACATAAAATTGGCACTGATAATGCACACTACATACTTATTTTTCAGCTCAACAAAACTATCTTTCTGTTTGACAATGCAGCAGTGTCACAGCTTTCATAGAAATCGCACTAGAATGTACACAAGGGAAACGTATGCAACAGGCCTCGTGAAGTTGAAGGTCGTGTAAGGCATCATTTTCATGATACAGACTACACAGGCCTGCTACACAAAAGCTTAACAACAAAAATTTAATAATGAATCAAGTGTCAAACTTCAGAGAAACCCATAATGAAAACATATTTGTTGCAATAACAACAGGTAAGCATTCATCTATGCTTACATGCAAAATATGCCTGCACACATGCAAGTACATTGGTATGTACACATTCCATTCTTAATTTACAAGCTCATCTAAGCCCATGCACACACACAAATGAAAAAATTATGCCTATGAACAGGACATAATGTCAGTTTCAAGTAGACATTTTTAGGGTATAGTAATGAGATTACTGCACTGTAAACAATTTTGAAATGTCAGTTTTTTTTTTGGGGGGGGGGGGAATAAAGAGTTTACTACTTTTTATAGTACCATGTTTCTTGCCTTTGTAATGAACCTATCGTGTTCGCTAATGGTTTACACTACCTAGGATGAACTGTTTGAGCCTCTGTTGTAGTTAAAGGGGCCCTGCAACACTTTTTGAGCATGGTCAGAAAGTGCTGCCGATTGGTAGTAGAGGCTCCCGACAACTTGCGAGCCATATATTATAGCATAACACACGGCCTGGAATTCACAATAAATTATTAAAGTCAGCTAAAAATTGCTTTCTCTTCTCTCGACAAATCACAAAATAAGCCCAAAAATCACTCGTAGTAAGCCCATCGATCAGCCACTGATTTAAACATGGCGTGCTCGGTCGTTACAGAAATTGTCGCAGGAGGCCGCGACTTGTCCACGCGTGCGCGCACAATCACACGGAGAAATCGCGCATCCGAAAAAAAAAGTGCTCAAGGTCACGAGGCGCGCGTGACGTTTTTATTTGTGCTTGCCATCCTTCTCGGCTTAGCTTACAGCGCTTTCGTCAGGACGAGGGAAGAGAGAATGCAATTGCAGCATGTGACCAATCTTTGTATCTCCACTTGCACTGGACGGATTTTTTAAATTGTTGCACCATTTAATTCGTGAGGCAATAAGCTTTTCCAAAGAGTTCATTCCATGGTTACATGAAAAAGTGTTTCAGGGCCCCTTTAAAACAATGATACCTCTGTGTGTATTTTTCTCGCTGCTTGCATCTCTAGTAAATGAAATACATAGAAATGATTGCTGATTCAAGATTGATCTTGCATGCAAATAATTCTTTTGCAAATTTTCAAAACTTTGTACCCTTTTACCATAGACAGTTGGCTTCTCGGCATCAGAGCTTACTGTAATTAAAATGTATAGCTCTCCTGTTTACATTTTTCTTCTGTTCAGTTGTACTTGCTTACAAACTCTTAAATTAGAGCATTTTTACTTGTCCTGTACTTTCAAACGTAACTGAAGCAACTCACTGAGGATACCCATGTGGGCGGTTAATAACACTAAAGCATTGCATAAGGAACACAGGAAACAACATCAACACAGCCTATTCTTGCAGTTGTGGTACATTCCAAGGGTAAAATACCCCTACACTGAGAAAAAAAATTCAGTACAGCTGAACATGCACACACACAAAGAAAATGTGAGAACAGATTCATATAGCAAGCATGTAAGAAGTCAATAACTCAGTGTTAAGCTAGCGTGTATGCTGAATAAGGTGCGATATATAGATTCAGTAGGAAGTAATATACATTTGGTAGATAAATGGCATGTCAAAATGTACCTCCAAATATCACTAACACTAAGTTGAACACTTTCTTTACTCAAGTTGGTTGCTTCGAAATTTCTCAATTGCGATGTTGTGAAAGTAATTCCAACTGCTTTGCAAGCTACACCAATGCTAATAACAGTCATGATGTCGAGTCAAACCTGACTAGACATTTGTCAGCTTACATAAATAAATCATGGTAAAATAACTGCATGAACATTAAAAACTATGATCCTAAATTAAAATTCAGTGAGATCCTGTGAGAAGCCTGTAATCACTGATTCTCGTTTCCTAGCACAGAATTCACCCACCAACATAAGAAGCAGATCACATAACCCAGGATGTATCTCAATGTTCTGAAATATATAAGCTGCACTAAAACACTCAAATGTCATCAGCACCACATGCCTGTTTTTTGCTTTACAATAATTTAACCAGAATCATTACCACTTCTGCATAAGCCAGTCACAAATTTTTTGCAACTTGCAATTCTAGAGGGCTCTCTTGGTGTAAAATTGCTTCGCTTCATACATGAGGTAGAGACGTGCCAATCAATCAGTGAGATATGACAAGACTATTTACAGATGAGGCACAAACACAGCAACTTTACAGTGCACATACATACGAAGTCACATGTACAAAGCAGCTTGTCTTTGAACATTGAAAGAGTATGAAAAGCAGCTCACTGCAAAACAAATAAATAAGGATGCATCATACTAAAAATGTAAAGAGAAGTTACACCACCTAAACAGTATACACATAGTTGAATAATATAAGAGCCATCATAAAGTCAGTTCGCAGGTAACAAGTGACAGGCATACTGACAAACACAAACACCAGTATTGAAGTACGGGCTCGGGCAAGTCAATTATTTTTTCAGCCGGCACCAAGAGTTCAAGGACCACTGTTCGCAAAAGTTTTATATAGACCTTCCATTCATCGTTAAAAACACAGGATAAAAAGGCTGCACATTACAAATACAACTTGTGCCACTCATGTACTAACTCATGTCCCAAGCTAAAGATTTTTTAAAACACACCTGTGTAACAAACATGTAGGACACAATGAAAAAAAAATTTCTAGTGCAATGACACACCTGGCACATGCACCTAAGGTTGATGTAAATGATAAATTTCAGGAATAGAAGAACAATATTTTTGAAAAAAATAAAAATGTGAACATTTGAGCCTTTATTTTTATTGTCACATTTATTGAGAAGAGTAAAGATTTGGGGAAGCAATAAATTGTGGAGAAGGTCTGACATTGCCAAGGACTCTCTGGCAGACAGCTGCAGACGTTTGCATGCTTGACAGATTGTTTTAGGCTGTATGCAATATAAAAAGAAGAAATTGTCAAGAAATAGATATATTGTGCTGACAACAGAGCATAAAATTGAGGCTAGATTTTGGTGTGGCAAATTCCACTTTGAATTCTATTAATAAGTGGTTCTCGAAAGGAGGTCTGCTGACCCTAGGGGGTTTGCGAACCCATTTCTATAATCCCCGATACCCTCACTCACGTTTTTCTTTAAGCGTGACTGTGCCACGTATTGATAAATAATCTGAAATGAAGTGATGTGGCACATTTGTTTCATGTTTTTGGTAGCAATAAAAAGCACCTGTTTCATGCTCAAGTTGTGTTAATTTACATATGTACCCATCCCCCTCCCTACCCTCCGCTGCAAAGGGTCCCCCATCACTTCCAGCAATCCACAAGGGGTTCATGACACATCCATGACTGAGAACCACTGCTATGGATGTGTGTCATTTGTTTGGATGCTGCCACACTACTGCTAAAACTGGTATTGAACACGTTCTACAGATAAGAAATGAAGAATTAAAATGACATGGAGCATCACAAAATGATAGAAGCCAGGTACTTGGATTTCTATGCTGAATCTGAAAAAAATGTACACCCACCAGTCGCCCCTTCTCTAGCAGAAACAGAAAAACAGAGTGATTATAAAGATAGTTCCCATTTTGTAAAGACTTGCAACACGCCATGTGCAACACAAAGATTGCTTCTATCAATATATGTTCCAATATGCTCTGTTGCCTCACAATATTCTTTCTTATCACAGCCCACAGAGCGAAATACAAGGAGCACATGAACATTGGGAAAAGTCTGTAAAGTATGCAAAGAATAAAGACAATCGCAGCTGCCAGCCTCTCTTACAACAGCAACTCAATTGCAATATTTCGAAATCGGGAGCCCGAGAGCAAGTTTTGTATGAACCACTCTATAGAGATTGCCTGCCTGTCAGTTGTGCCACCTGAAGCTGTCTAATGTTGATACAAATAATACCAATCTGTAGTGAGTGCTGAGCTCACTATGTAAATGATCTTGAAAAAATAACTGATCTTTTATCAACATCAATATGCACAATTTTCACAGCATCTGGTTTGTTATCTCAAAGCTTGCTTTCTTAAACCAGACTGAAACACAGCCAGGTTGCCTGTATTTAACAGGCAGCTTGCCTGTATTTAACAGGCAGCTTGCATCAGTGGTTTTGGGAGGATTATGCAAGTTCAAAAGTAGAGTACATAATATGAGTACGTATTATGGTGTATGTTCAATGACAGAATTCTAAAACTTCACTGGAGCATTTTGAGAAAATAGCTGCAATTACCTCAAGGCTTCCTGCAGACCATATCGCAGTTCATTTGTTAAATCATTCCTGATACGTAATATGTCCGACTCATCTGTATATTTTAGTTTGTAGTAACTGACAATTGGCTTTGCCGAGACGCAACCATGCTCATAGCAAAGGGGCACTGCAACACATTTTGAGCATGGTCAGAAAGTGCTGCCGATCAGTAGTAGAGCCTCCTGAGAATGCGTGAGCCAAATAATATAGCACAGCACGCAGCCTGGAATTGACAATTAATTATCAAAATCAGCAGAAAATCGCTTTCTCTTCTCTCGAGAAATGACGAAAGACACTCAAAAATCGCGCGTAGAAAGCCATCTATCAGCCATTGGCTGATTTGAACATGGCGCGCTCGGTCACCACAGTAGGACGTGATGTGTCCACGCGTGCGTGCGCCATAACACTGAAAAAGCCGTGTATTAAAAAAAAAAAAAGAAGAAAAAGTGCTTAAGATCACGAGGCAAACGTGACATATTTTCTTTGCCCATGCCCATTCCCCCCTGCTTAGCTTCTAGTGCTTTCATTGGGACGAGAGAAGAGAGAATGAGATTGCAGCGTATGACAAATCTTTGCAACTCCGCTCTTACAGAACGGATTCTTAAAATTTTTGCAGCGTTGAATTTGTGAGGCAATAAGCTCTTTTAGTGAATCCATTTTATGGTTACTCAAAAAAATGCTTCAGGGCCTCTTAAAGGGAGGATGCGTTCTCGGCTTGACCAGCTCAACTCTCTGTGCCCGTCCTTTGCAGTGAGACGGCCATCTCTCACTCAAATGGCTACAACCCGTGTTCAGTAGGCCTGTTTTTTCACAATAACATATGCCTGCATAGTCTCTGCTCCTGAGCTGTGAACATGCATCTTTCTTGCTTCTGCTAAACCGAGGTTAAAACAAGCTGAGTTGATATGCAACTAATACAAAGAAGCTACTGCTCACAAAAAGCAGAAACTAGACTCATTTTGAGTAAAATAATGCATTTAGCTGTTCTTTACGTTGACTAGCCTGCCCAGTTGAGGAGCCCTGAAAGACAGTCACTACCACACATGTTAAAAATATGTAGACTTGCACAGACTGTTGCAGTTAGGCAACGTGATGTTTACTACAGACAGGATACAATGATCTGACACTAATGAGCAGCCTGAGTGTCACACCTTGAACACCTACAAGATTAATCATAGACGTACGGAGCAGCATCTAGCTGCTAGCCTTACTTTATAGAGACATATAAATGCAACATATGCCCATTTGTGAGCAAGTCTACCACAAGCCTTATTGTTTCTGCTCCTTGAGAGTGGAAGATGGTGGCGCATTAAAACAGGCTGTTACTGGAAAGCTGCTTTTAAAAACACCATGCAAACAAAAATTGTGAGCTCAGTTTCCTCATAGGGAACAACCCACTGCTTAAGACAGATTCAACACATCACTTCATAGATAAGCAGTTGTCAAACAAGTAATAAGAAATACTGCTGCTGGCTAGGAAAAATGGAGCTTGAATATTTGCCGAGATGGTAGCAAAAGTGCACTTGCAAGTTCATAATCACATGGACCTGATTATGAATGCACCTCCACTGTGCGATTGCACTGTAAATGCACCAGTATAGTCACAACATATGAGATGTCTTGACAAGCATATAATTTCTCTGCATTACTACGTCCAGTGACTGTGGGCACTGACGCAGTTTTTTCTCTTCACATTTTTTTTTTAACTGTAAATCCCCACAGCATATGAAAAACACCAGCTAATGGGGACTTAAAAACAGGGAAGATCCCTATTCTTATGGAGTTTAACAGTGTCATGTCATCACATTATGGCACTGTACTAAATCGCAGACTCAGCATTTATTGACAAGCTTTAGGTGACTTGTCTTATATATGTATTGAGTGTGTGAACACCAAGATTTGCTCAAGCTGATTGTATTTGGCATGTCAGATGTTCTGTATTGGCACAGGAACAATACGTGATCTGAGCCAGTCAAGCTGAACCAACACAGCCAAGCCGTATGTGAAGGGCCTAGTGTATCATTGGCAGGACATATGAGCTTGTCAAGCTTGCCTGGCTTGCTGATCATAAGGTCATGTGGTGCAGCAATGCAAGGCATATTACTGAAAATGCCACACAGTTGAACAGGTTGAATGTGACTTCCTATGTCTTTTTCCTGGCATCAGCATCATCACTATCACTACGATCTCCGTTGACACTAGCGGCATGTTCATCAGCCAGCCGTTTCCATTCCATACGGTTGAGCTCGACACCTTCCAGCAAGGGGTAGAGTCGGTCATTCAGTGCAGAGAAAGACTGTTGAACGAAAAGAAGCAACAGCAACATGTCACTTGTGAGAGACTAGCTAGTAAACATTCTTGCTATAGTTAAGCCTAAAATAAGCATTACAAACTTGCACAGTTGAGGGTAATAGGTGAATATACGTTAAAGATTAAGTCAGAAAGTTGTACATGATATGGCTTGGGCACTATTTCTTCCAATCACCATGAGCCTTTTAAAGAAATATACTGGAAATCTTGCCTCATGGTGGCCTTTGAAATCCGTTTCACAGTGCATTCGGTGTTGTGTTGCAATTGTTTTCAAGATACAACATTTAAGACTAACAATTCTCTTGTATCTGATCTTGTTTTCAAGATACGACATTTGACATTTTAAACTAGCAATTATCTTGTATCTGACAAAGTTTGGCCTAGCTGGGACCACACAAATATTCTATGTGCGACTTTGTCTGTCAAGCCAATCAGAATGCAAAGCCAATGTGCCACTGTCACATGACTAAACATCCTTTCTGATGTGAAAAATTTTTCTCAGCTCAAATAACATTTTAATTATCTTGATCTTCATGTTCCCACTTCCACTACAATATCACGGCATTGCACTTTATCAGGGAAGGTGATGACATGCTTAACTTATGTTGCACGGACCCTTTAAAATGGGGGATCCTCACTTTTATGTGAATTAAATGAGTGACACTCAGGTTTCATTTCTTTTTTTGTGTGTGTTTTCAATATTACTTTGACTACTACAGAAAAAGCAGCAAGAGAAACCAGCAGAATCTATTAAGAAGTATTGCTTTTTGAAAGTACCTCATGCCGTTGTTAAAGAAGTATACAGAGTAATATGGTTTCACCCACCTACTGCCTCATCCTGAAGGCATGATACCGTTTTCTAGTATAGAAAATTAATCCCAAATAGTATGCAATGTTCAAAGTATAGGAGTCTATGAAGATCACTGTAATTTGGACATGGTTTCGTGCAGTCACAAGTGATATCTGATGAAACTATGGTGTTGACTGGCATATTTCCAGGAATGCTACAAAGGCCCCACACGGAAACAGCACCATGCCGACAATTCCTAATCTACTGTTCAACATGCAGGCTTTTCCAGTGCTCCTGCTGTTGTGGTCAACGGTTGCCATTGCCAGCCCGATAATCGTTTCTGCTGCGCCGATAGCGCCGATAGTGCTTTCGTCAGTGATTGACTCCGGGCATGTGCACTTCCCGGCTAAACTTGTTTCGGCCATCGACTTCGGACTGCCAACCGCACCGACCTTCACATCACTCCCGGCGAAGAATTTGAGCTGCTGAGCTGCTGTTACTACCTATCTTTCTTCAGTGGACACGAGAACAGCACCACGCCAACGTTTTCTAATCTACTGTTCAGCATGCAGGCTTTTCCAGTGCTCCTGCTGTCGTGGTCAACGGTTGCCATTGCCAGCTCGATAATAAACGTTCTAGCTGCGCCGATAGCGCTGATAGTGCTTTCATCCGTGATTGACTCCGGGCATGTGCACTTTCCGGCTAAACTTGCTTCGGCCATCGACTATGGACTGCGCCGCGTCGACCCTGACATCACCTCCGGCGAAGAATTTAAGCTGCTGCTACCACCGATCTTCCATCAGTGGACACGGGAGCAGCACCAGGCCAACATTTCCTAATCTACTGTTCAACATGCAGGTGTGTAAAACATTACCACTTTTTGCTAGGAAGTCAGATGATGCCTTTTTGGTAGTGTTCCCATGTCCACGAACACTTTGCACAATTTTGTTGGACTGTATTTCAATGTTTTTACTTTTACTACGCTCTAGTGAGATTGAAACAAATCCAGGACCCACTACTCGCTCTGAAAATCTTTTAGATATTGAGTCGTTGCCGGAAAACCCAACCGAGCAGGTGTCCGTTTTCTTTAAAGTAATCAAGGATATTCATACGAGATTGTTACAAAGTGCAAAGGTTCAGAACGAATTAGCTGCTGACATAAAGTATATTAAATGTAGCCAAAGGCCATAGAGGCAAAAGTTATGGTTGTACAGAAGCGCCTGGATGATCTCGAGCAAAAATCTGAAATCCTTGACAAAGTTAAGGAAGAGTTATCTGAAAAGCGTGTTTCGGTCAACAACCTTGAAGCACGTAATACTTCATTTCAGTCACGACTTGATAACTTAGAAGACCGCTCACAGTACAATAATCTTGTCTTCTATGGCATTCCCGATTCTAAAGAAACATGGCAGGAGACAGAAGCCAAACTAACTGCTGAAGTAAAGTCCGTTCTTGGTTCCTTCAGAGGCAGCCAAATTGAGAGGGTGCACAAGTTGGGCTCCTTCTATCCCACAAAATCCCACACAATTGTCAAGCTTACTGGCTTTAAATCTAAAGAGCAATTCCTAGCCCTCCGAGGCCAAATAAAACAAATGAACATTGGTGTCTCCAATGATTTTTCACCAACCAATCGTCTTGCCCGCAAAAAGCTAATTGAATTCTGTAACAATCAGCCTAATCCTGCCTCCTTTAAACTCCGCTACAATAAGCTGGAAGGAAACAACAACTGCTACATTTATAATGCTAGCCTTGGCATCGTCGAAGAATTGTAATCACAAGCTTCTCCTGTAGGTCGCACTCGACATCCCCCTACAAATAGTGCACCACAGGGAAGTGAGAAGAGCGGTGGTCTATTATCATCTTCCACAGCTCACCTTTCCATCCTTCATTCTAACACGAGAAGCATTGCAATTAAATCTGACTCCTTATTATTCGCGATAGATTCATACAGGGCTCATGTAATTGGCCTCACGAAAACATGGCTTTCTTCAAATGCGCATGAAAATAAATTGTTTCATAATGTACAAAGCTTTACTGTCCATTGCTGTGAACCCACCTCGCGTCAAGGTGGAGGCGTGCTCCCGGCCATCTCTAAATGCATTCCATCGTCATGTATACAGATTAATCAAGACATCGAAATAGTATGGGCTCTACTAACAATCCGTCACTTAAAAAGTATCTTAGGGGTGTGCTATCATTCCCCTTCATCTGCACAAACATTCTTAAGTGAATTCCCCGATTCAATAAATATAGTTGCTTCACGTTTTCCTTTAATGCCTTTGTTCTTAGTAGGGGATTTTAATCTCCCTAACATAAATTGCACCACTGATCCACCATGCTTATCACCCTTTTTGGCCCATGCCAAAAATTTCATAGAGTAACGAGCACTGCCTCAAATATACTTGTCTTAATTTTGACTAACACACCCACCATAGCTTTTGAAATCACTTATCTGCCCACTAGCAGTGATCAATCTCTGCTTGTTTTTCACCTAAAAATGCCACCTCCCAAACAAACTAATAAGAAAAAGGTGATATGTCATTTCAAGAGGGGAAATTTCAATTCCATTATAGCTGGCTTATCTAATTTCATTGATTCCTTTTTTTCTCAATTCGATGATCACTGTGTACTAGTGAACCGAGATCTTTTTGCTGCAAAAGTAGATTAACTCACCAAAAATACATTCCTAACCATATCATTATCTCTAATCAGAAGGCACCATGGTACAACGCCTACATCAGACGACTATCTAACTGTAAAAAACGACTTCACAAATCTGTGAGACCAACACCTACACAAAAACATCGGGTCATTTACAAGGCTGCACAAAATGCTTACATTGCCGCCCTGAAATCCTCTGTTTCACTTTTTTTCTCAAACAGTGCCAGAAATGCTCTCAACCAATGTACCCAAATTTTGGCACCTAGTTAACCCTTTGCCAGATAACAGCATAGCTCTAGTAAATAATTTTGACTATCCAGTTCCTACTAACATGTGTGCCGATCTTGTTAATGACACTTTCAAAAATAACTTTTTTTAGTTGGTAACATCATTCTGCCTCATGCCCAGACTGCTGACTATATCGTCATGCCCCCAATTTCCATCAATCCTTCCGGTATTGCTAAAGTTATAAATAACTTGCCCATTCACTCTTCTCCTGGCCACGACAATATAGGTTCTACGTTTCTAAAGAGCATTATTACTTACAGTTATTGATACTAACAAAAATCTTTCAACAATCTTTAGATACATCAACTATTCCTACACAATGGAAAATCGGGTAATAAACACTCTCTGAATAAGTATCGTCCGATTTCTCTAACAAGCACTGCCTGTAAACTATTACATGTAATTTTCACCAAACTCATTACCTTTCTTGAATCTAACTGTTTTTACGTTTGCACAACATGGCTTCCGCAAACATTTTTCATGCGACACACAACTCATATCATTCACTCACAAACTGCATCGAATTTTGGACCGATCATCATATGCCGACTGTATTTTTTTTTAGACTTCTGTAAGGCTTTCGACAAAGTCTGTCACCAACTACTACTTTTCAAATTGAGCCTACTAAACCTTGACAATAATTTACTGAAGTGGATTGAGTGTTTTTTATCTAACAGGATTCAGTACGTTACTGCTAACAATCACAATTCGTCATCTGCTGCGGTCCACTCAGGAGTACCGCAAAGGTCGGTCCTTGGTCCACTTCTCTTTCTTATTTATATTAACGACCTCACGTCTTCTATTTCTTCTAACATTCATCTTTTCGCAGATCATTGCGTCATTTTTCGTGAAATAACCTGTGATAATGACATTTCATTCCTTCAATCTGATCTTAACACCATAGCAGCCTGGTGCAGCACATGGCGAATGGACTTAAACATTGGCAAATGTAAGGTAATGCCTGCAACAAGATCACCCAACACCCCGCTAACATACTACTTAAACAACGTCTCGCTCGATCCGGTCAACTTGTATAAATACTTGGGTGTTCTTATCACAACAAACCTATCTTGGGCACCTCACATCAAATACATTACTAATAGTGCCGATTGCATGTTAGGCTACATACGTCGTAACTTTTCAAAAGCACTATCAGCATTAAAATTACTCGCATGTAAAACATTGGTAAGATTCAAACTCGAATATGCTGCCTCTTATGTGCGGGATCCTTACCATGATAACTTGATCCACTTCACTAGAACTTGTACAGAATAACTCTGTCCGTTTCATACTGTCCAACTATAATCACATTGCCAGTATAACATCAATGAAATCCAACCTAGACCTCCCTTCACCTACATCCCATTGTAAAATATTCCACCAGGCCGCTTTTCACAAAATATTCCATCATCCCACCCTTCATGACCAACTAATCCTCAATCCTCAGTACATATCTCATCGTATCGACCATCGTCATAAGGTTGGCATTGCAATATGCAACTCGCAGAGTTTTTATCGATCATTCATACTTCGTACATCAGCAGATTAGAATCATCTACCTGAAGACATAGTAACTATTACTAATAACCATCTTTTCTGTCAAGAATTAACTAATTTTGTATAATTAAAAACTGCACAAAGCATTATGTTATGTATTTTATGTATTATGTTATGTATTTTACGTATTATGTTCATATTGTACTGAAGTCGTCGTCCTTACACAGCTGATATTGTATAATGAGTAGTTTTTATTCGTTGAATAACTTATTTTCATGCTGTTTTTTGTTCCTTCTAAACTTATAACCACTCCCCTCCATAATGCCACATTGCCTTGAGAGTAAATAAAATGAAAAAAAAAATTGAAATGAAATAACCATGACTCTTAATACACATACAGCCAAAGCACTGTTTTAAATTGCTATCTTCCTTCATGACACAGTCATAAAATCAAATGTAAACTAATAGATTTAAGCTTGGTCATGCCTACATAAACATACTGGAAGAAATCTATGGTGGTTCTACAGCCACCATAGTTCCCCATAAACATAGCAACAGAATCTCAATAAAGAAAGATGTAACGCAGGGAGACACGATCTCTTCAATACTGTTCACCGCTTGTTTTCAGAAGGTTTTCAGGACCCTAGACAGGGAAGAGTTAGGGATAAAAGTCAATAGAGAGTATCTTAGTAACCTGTGATTCGCTGATGACATTGACTTGATGAGTAACTCAGGGGACGAATTATAGCTCACGATTACTGAACTGGGCATGGAAAGCATAAAAGTAGGTCTGAAAATTAGTATGCACAAAACTAAAGTAATGTGCAACAGTCTTGGCAGAAAACAGCATTTTGCGATAGGTGGAGAGACGATGTCTACCTAGGACAGGTAGTACCATGGAGCCAACCATGAGAGTGAAATAACTAGAAGAATATGGGTGGGGTGGATCACATTCAGCAAGCATTCTCAAATCATGAATAGTAATCTGCCACTAACCCTCAAGAGGAAGGTATATAACAGCTGCATCTTGCTGGTACTTACCTATGGAGCAGAAACTTGGAGGCTTACAAAGAAGGTTCAGCTTAATTGTGGATGACGCAGTGAGTGATGGAAAGGAAAATGATAGGTGTGACCTTAAGAGATGAGAATAGAGCAGAGTGGGTCAGGGAACAAACCGGGGTAAAGGATATCATAGTTGAAATCAAGAAGAAGAAATGGACATGGGCTGAGCACATAGAACGTAGGTAGGATAACCGCTGATCATTAAGGGTAACTGACTGGATTCGCAGAGAAGGCAAACGCACAAAGGAAAGATAGAAAGTTAGGTGGGATGATGAGAATAAAAAGTTCGCAGATATGGCAACGGAAACCACAAGACCGGGTTGATTGGTGGATCATTGGAGAAGCCTTTGCCCTACAAGGAGCATAGCATGGTTGATGGTAATGATGATGATGGTCGTGAGCTTGCTTGCTCAGTGGAATTGGTCTGATATTGGCCAGGATTAAAATTGCTTATCGAACAAATGTGATTTCAGAGGTTTTGAATTCCCGTGAAATGCACGGAAGTAAATTTTTATTCTTCCTTCAAGCTGGTTGGCCTTATTAATCAACTGCACATGGTCAAACATGTCACTGCTTGCATCATTGTAGGAATGTCACACATTAGAGCTCACAGGTCACCTCGTCATAGCTATGTGCTGAAACAATTACCCTATTTCTGGAGTGTTTCGGCGGAGAATTCATTGAAGGCAATTGTGCATGTCCACAATAGTTCGCATGTGTGCGAGGTCAGATAATTCATTGTTACTGGTGTACAACCCATCCCCAATATATGTATCGGCTGAAAGTAACCATATATTGGAGGATCTTGTGCCAGAAATCTTACGTGTGACTCTACTCTTGTCACTCACCTTATACAATGGCAGGCAGATGGAGTCAATAAAGCCCAGTTGCATAGCTGGAAGCTGGTCTTTTTTCTCCCTATTCATCATGTCCTGTGCAAAAGCATCAGTAAAAGGACAAATAATTTAGGTCTCAAACATGTTCTGCGCATACAAAGTATGACAAAAGATGAGAGTTTCAATGCAACATTACAACCATTTAACCACACATTATTGCAAGTCTGTTTGTTTATGGATTTCAACATCCCAAAGAAACTCGGGCTATGGGAGATGCCGCAGCGGAAAGCTCCGAAAGCTCCTGGGGCTCTTTAATGTTCAGGGAAATCGCACGCCTTAGGCATTCCACCTCTATTGAAATGTGACTGCTTTGGTCGAAATTGAACCCATGTCCTTTGCATCAGCAGCCAAGCACCATAATCACTGTGCCACTGCAACAGACTTTTATTATTGCAACCCTAGTTCCACAAACATGCATGTTTGTGGATCAAGCCTGATAGTCAAGAAACAGCCACTAAATGACAAGCATATACACTAATATGTCTCTGCCTTCTCTCATAGAATTAAATAATAATTACAGTAAGCTCCCAAAAAATGAAACTCGCTTAAATGAAAATGCCTCATTAATGGAACTAAGCGGGCTCATATGGCTGGATTTCTATGTGTTGTGCAGTAAAATTCATTGGTTAACAGAAACAGTGCTTATTGATCACGTACGGTTAATGGCACAAACTCTGCAGTCAGCATAGACTTGCTCATGCCAAAGGCAGTCTCACAACCATAGCAACACCTTGAGATCGAGACAAGCCAATCCAGTAGCCATTCTCGCTTGTGGCTGTGGGAGCTAAGTCGGCGAGTCAATTGTGAATTAGGCCTACTTGTGTGGTGCAATGCGGTGGATCATGGTATTATTTCAGCCTAATGAAAAGGAAGCGGCCACACCATACACTCTCGCTTGAAAAAAAGCTGTAAATTCTTCAGGAGCTCGATTGAAGCGGCCTGCCCTAGATGTAGGTGCCAAAAAAATACATCCCGAAATCTACGCTGTCGCAGATCTGTAAAGATGGAGAAAAGATTGAAAGCACCGTTAAGAATAAGACCTTTACATCTAAACGGATGCGGACAACGCCTTATGAACAACTGGAAAAGTTCTTTTCCTGTGGTTCAAGCGTGCACAGAGTTCCAACTTGCCCATAAGTGGACCGATTCTCGAGCAGAAAGCTCGAGAGATTGCCATGCAAATGGGTGTTAAGAACTTTGTCCTAAGCGACGGATGGCTCAGCCGCTTCAAAACATGCCATGGCCTAGTCTTCAAAGCAATCGCAGGTGAGAGTGGTGCAGTCAACAGGGACATTTGCACCGACTGGCAACAGGGGCGGTTTAAGAAAATTTTTATGAACTTTGAACCACGAGACATGTTCACCGTCAACGAGATTATTCCTTCTTATAAGGTGCTTCTATCAAAAACTCTCACCTTCAAAGGCGAAGGCTGTAGTGGAGGAAAATGCAGTCAAGATCACATTACTGTGCTGGTGGGTGCAAACATGGCAGGAGATGAGAAATTGAAGCTGTAGGTAATAGGAAAATCAAGGCACCCACGTTGTTTCAAAGCCGTTCGAGACCTTCCCGTTGGGTACCATGGGAACGAAAAAGCGTGGATGACCATGGCCATTTTCGAAAACTGGCTTCGGTAGGAAGATGCAAAATTTACGAGGCAAGGTAGGAAGGTTGTCTTCATCGTGGATAATTGCCCAGCCTACAGTGAGGTTCAAGTACTCCAAGCCATCACTCTGGAGTTCTTGCCAGCCAATGCAACGGCACTGATCCAGGCGATAGATCAAGGAGTTATTAACAACATTAAAGTTCATTATCACAGACAATTGCTCCATCAAATGCTCCTTAGAGCAGGCAGTGGGAAATGCAGAGATTCATTGGCAGCTATCCACATTTTGGCTTGTGCCTGGGAGCAAGTGAAGGCAACAACAATACACAGATGCTTTCACCATGGTGGCTTTCAAGCGCAAGAAAACAGTACCTGATGAAGAAGAAAGCCCTGCTGATGCCGATATTGAGACAGTATTCAGTCAGGTCGTACCCTCTGCACTTTCACGCTGCAGGACTACGAATCAATTGATGAAAATGTTCGTACCTGTCGTGAAGAGACTGTCGAGGAAATGATTGCCGAAGTGCAACATGAGGATCAACCTTTCAGGGATGAATGTGATGACAATACTGCCAGTGCAGTGGTGCCACCAGACCGATCAGCTAAAGAGGCTGTTAAACTTTTTGCAGCGCTGTTGTGAGCATGAGGCTTATCCAGAATTTCTAGCTAGTTTGTCAGGCATGGGTGCGTACCTTGTGAAAACACAACTCAAGCTTGCCAAACAAACCACTCTTCCCTCCTTTTTTTCCTCCTACTCATCCTCATGAGTTAGGTGAGGTTTGTGCAATTTGAATAAAGGTCTTGGTTCACTAATTAAGTGTGCTTTGCTTAAATGAAACTTCTGATAAATCGAACAGTTTTGTGGATCCCCTTCCAGCTCCGTTTAAGAGGAGTCGACTGTACTGACGTGCTCAGTATATCTAATCAGCACACTTGCTGGGAACCAGCCAAAAGCCTTCACACAGTAACAATACCTTTGCCAAATGTAGTTCTTCAGTTCTTTTTTCTCTTTTTTGTAAGTCAGTTATTTTATTGTCTATTGAGGACTTAAAAACTCATAAGTTCAATAGTTCTGAAAGTTCTGCATAGACCAGTAGAGAACTATTGAGCTGGTGCAATGCTGTTTGTATTTGTTGTGCAAGAAATTTTGATGCTGTCTTCTGTTAAGCTGTGCCAACCAGTCTGCCTTCCAATCATTTATGTCGCCGGTGTTGCTATCCTCAAAAGCCAGTCTCAAAATTTCAACAGTGCCTGTTTACAGAGCTACTTACAATGGGCTGGAGATTTAGCTCCTTTTTCTCCATGTCTCCTTGCTGAAAGAACTCCATTGTCACCAGGTCTGCAACCTAAGGTAAAAATATTGGTCTTCATAAGAATGACCTGATTGATATTTTATAAGCTAATATTGTTGTATACATGTATGCATGTCTTATGCAATAACTTATTGATTTCTAACAGTGGTTAGAAGAATAAAAACAGACACCAATAAAATGTTAAAACAATGCACACTGGTCATTATTAGCTTACTTACGAAACAGTGGCTGCAAAGCATTATGCTAAAGTTGCACAAGATAATTTTTGATGTCGTTTATGGTCTTTTGTTTTTAAAAGCAGCCAAGCCTGGGCAGAACGCACAGCACTGTCACAGCAAAAGCTGCAAGAGCGGCTTTTTAGAGCCCTCATTAAACAGTCTTTAGGTAACCATTATGCACACTTGCAGGGTACCTACTATACCATTAATCATTTTCCAGTAACCAAGCATTCACTATTCCATTCTTCGTCATTCTCCAGAGAAGCGTGGTACCTGCTGCACACTTGCAAGGAACATTGGGAAATATTTTTGTGCTGTGCTGGACGAGGACGAAGAATTATGGCAGAAGCTTTTGTAATTCCCACAATTACCCACAGTGGGTATGCACCACAGTAAATATGTGAACAAGATTGAGCTTTTGTAAATGGTTGGAGCATTTGATGACACACTCTTTACATAATTCATATTATGTGACACAGTAAATATGTGAACAAGATTGAGCTTTTGTAAATGGTTGGAGCATTTGATGACACACTCTTTACATAATTCATATTATGTGACATCTGATTGTTCCTTTGTTGTTCTGAAACTCTTTAATACTCATATTAACGCAATCCTTTGTCCGACATCAAGCCTGCTTAAGGCCAGTTCGCAATGGAGTTGCAAGCATTGGCGTGGCTTAGTAGTAGAATTCTGGGGTGGCACTCAGAGGACCTGGGTTCGAATCCCATTGTGTCCTTATTGTTTTTATCTACTGAATATTTTGTTGTTGTTTTTTTACGATAGTGGTTATGGACACTGGTGATGGCGGTGGCAGCAGCGGACAACTGCACATGAACCGTGTTGTGATCTCATAAATGCTTTCGCTGTAAAACTGGAAAATAATTCATGTTTTCATGCGCATGCATTCTGTTGCATTATGCCTTCACTGAAGTGCATTATGCCTTCAGTTGACTGAAGTGTTACAGTTGAGGGCAACAAATACTTTAAGGGGCAACACCTTTTAAAGTAATCATAAAATGACCTCAGTACTACACCAGAATGCACCTTGAATCTCCTGCAGTCAAATTCATGATGCATAAACAGAGTTACAGGTAGTTTTATTCCACCTATTATTGTCGTTTCTCTAACCTGCTGAAGACCTTATATGGGGAAAGGCTGGCAAAGGAGCAAGAATATGCCCAAGTAATGACCCTCTGCTTTCTGGGCTGTAATTAAGAAAGGAATCCACGCTGGACACACATTACTTTTAAACATGCAGGTGTCTAGTACTACCATCTACCATGTTTCAGAACACAGTATAAGACACTGCCTCTGACCAGAGAGCACAATAAGATGAAGCCCGTGTGCCTTGTCTTGTTTTCTTGCTGCGTTTATTTACATAACAATTTGCCAGCTCGCTCATATTTACGATGCAGTTTTCATAAAAGCAGCCACCTTGAAAGCTGCCAACACTGACAAATCCCATTCCACTGATTTGAATGACTAACTATACAGTGTACAGAGCACATTTGCTCCATATATTTGTTATTTCACTCACCACTCTTTGAACTTCCCAGGGTTTGGTGATTGCTCCAATATCACAAGCTGTCATCAGCATATTTCTGAAAAAAGACAAGAGTAAGCATATGTATAAAAAATAACAAAAAAAACTAAGCAAAGAATGTTTGATAAAGCACAGCCCACAAGCTACTAGCGATGAAGGAAATGAGGGACACACAATACTTTGCCCAATTACAGAGTGTATATTTTCCTACATTGTCCTCAACATAATGACAATGGTTTATTAGGCAAAACATTTTTGCTGTTCCATGCTTCAATAGCAGGGATGGGCAGAGATGCTTTTGTTCATTAGTCAATTACGTTTTTTATGGTGCAGAAGCAACGGAACCACTGAAACACAAGGTGATTATTGAAGAACACTAGAGCACTTTTAATTTAAACCTAATTTAAATAGCCACATTCTTTTAGAAAAACAGCAGACAGGGGTACAAGTGGATCATCTCCAAGGAGCAGACTAGAGTGGATAGGTGTGTGTTGTTTGTAGCCAGCCAATAAATTTTCCTCTCAGCATATCAGTACGGGGACATGTGATCAGAATGTGCATTAGTGTTAGTAGTTCTCGACGTTTTTCACAGGTTGGTTGTTCATCACTTGTGAGTAAGAAGCTGTGTGTCAGGTTGCGATAACATAACTTCAGCAAACCATTTTTGGTGGCGACAGGTTTTCCATTTTCCAAGTACAGGCTTTAACAAATGGAGCATGTTGTTTGTGCATGAATCCCGTTGCTGCTACCATTTAGTTAGCAATGTTATATGGATTATTCCTTGGCTGTCTTTATGATTTTAATTTTTGTAACTGCTTTGTGCACTGCCTAAGATGCATGCTCATCTGCTCTCTCATTGCCAGGTATCCCAACATGACTTGTGTCCCAGCAAAAATTATTAGAGACAGCCTCGCTATTCACAGCGATAATATTTATTATACAGCCAACTAAGGGCGCGCACTCAGACATACTAAGATGTAGAGCCCTCAATGTGCTTAGGGAGTCGGTATATATTATCGCCTTCTTATGTTCACTCGTAGCGATATTTGAAACTGGTTTGTACAATGCACAGACTTGCCCTGTTATAAATTCCAATACCCACGTGATTTTTCATTTTTGAGCCGTATATGTAATATCCGGTGTGATCTCTATATTTATGTTGAAGTGAACCCAATTTTTGGGTTGTGTGTTCTGGTGGAGTGTATTTTTTCTTTGGGTAGGTTACAAAGGAGTCGCAAAATAGCATCATATCAGACCATGAGGGCAGTCTTGATGGTTTGTTTGCTACATTGAGTGCCTCTTCAGATAACTCAACCCTCGATATAACGAACCCGGATGTAACGAAATATCGGTTATAGCAAAGTAAATGAAAAATGATTGATCAATATGTGGAGTTTAACATCTCAAAACCACCATATGATTATGACAGACACCGTAGTGGAGGGCTCCGAAAATTTCGACCACCTAGGGTTCTTTAACATGCACCCAAATCTGAGCACATGGGCCTACAGAATTTTCGCTTCCATCAAAAATTCCGCTGCCGCAGCCGGGATTCGATCCCGCGACCTGCGGGTCAGCAGCTGAGTACCTTGCCACTAGACCACCGCGACGGAGCAGTAAATGAAAAATAGTCCTGCCATAAATAGTGTGTTAGGAATAGACCTTTATAACGATTTCTCCAATATAACAAACTTATTTTTGTGTAACATGCAGTTTTGTTAGATTAAGGTTTGAGTGTACAGTAATATTCTTCGAACCGTATAATAAGTGGTGTGGCTTGATTAGGTGTGACTTGTTTAAGTAGTGTAAGCATGAGTCATATTTTGTGACAATGTTGGGGTTAATGTGTTCAGGTGATGACTTGATTCTCAAAACACAAGACAGGGTTAGTGATATTCTTCGCTGACCAAGAGGATGGTTATTACAACCTACATATAAACTCTGCACAGGCGATGTTCTATAGACGCCACAAAACAAACGTAGGCTGAAATTGTGTATAGGGTCAAGGCGCCGAATGTGGGACTCTTGTCCCGAGCCGTAAACAATACAACCACAGTCCAAAATGCTGCACACAATATAACAGTACATACATAGTATGCACAGTCGTTCGAAACCCCACTGTTTGTGGGTTAATACTTTTAGAAGAATTAGTGCTCGGTTTCCCTCTATTTTTACTGTTTTCATGTGGGCTAGGAAAATTAGCATTTGGTTGAATATAATACCTAAAGATTTATATTCTTGTTTTATTGCTATAGGGACATTGTTTAATTACAGAACTGGGTTCGCACATAATCCTCTCTTTAGCTTATAAAGAACAGCGGCAGCTTTTTGTGTAAAGAAGCGGAAACCGTTTTGGTCAGATGATTTTGTCAGCTTATTATTTGCGATTTTCAGTTGCTGTTCGCAAATTGAGGGGTTTGTGGCAAATATTCATGGCAGTGTAGCACCATGATGTACTTGGAATAATCTATTTCAGAGGAAATCACACAGGAAGTTTAGCATTCTTTCACGAATCCCCATGTCTGCAAGATCTCTGAGCATCTCATATTGCCACGTAGTATCATATGCTTTCTTTAAGTCTAAAAAAACCACGACACAGTACTGATTCTGCAGGAACACACCTCGTATTTTGTATTTCAGTCTGACGAGATTGCCAATGGTGGAACACCCTTTTTGGTATCAACACTGGTGTGAGTCTATTAGGTTTCTTGATTCAAGAATGAATGTGAGTTTTATGTTTATAATACTCTCATATGTTTTTGCTAGACAACTTGTTCGTGCAATCAGCCTGCAGCTGCTCAGAGATGTTGGGGGTTTGGCAGATTCTAGGAAAGATATGACTACACATTTTACAGCGATAGCTGTTATGAGATCACAACTTGGGTCACGTGCAGTTGTCTGCCGCCACTGGTGTCTGTAACCACATTGCACGGATTTAGAAAAAAAAATCTAGCACCAATGACACAGGGGGGCTCAAACCCGAATATACTGGGCTCCAGCCCAGTATTTTACCTCTGAGCCACACCGGTGCTTGGGACTAGTAGGCAAACTTGCCTTAGGCAGGCTTGATGTCGGGAAAGCAATCGCGTTATTACGACTGATAAAACATTTTAAAACAGCAAAAAAACGACCAGTCGTTGCACAATTCGAACAGCGTAACAAGTAGATCGTCCAATGCTCCAACCCATTACAAAAGCTTGTTATTGTTCCCCTATTAACTGTGGTGCATTGCCACTTCAGCCATAATTCCTCATGTCATCAGCCACTGCATGAACAATTTGCACAAAATTCCTTGCAAGGGTTCAGCAGATACCACGCTTCTCTGAAGAATGACAAAAAATAGCATAGCGAATACTGGCCTACTACCCAAAAATTTATTATTAATGCCTAAGTAGGTATCAAGCAAGTGTGCTTGCAGTAGTTACCCAATGAGTGTTTTGAAAGGCTCTGAAAGGTTGCTCTTCAAGCTTTCGAGGTGACTGTGCTGTGCCTTCCACGCAAGCCTGGCATTTTTTTTCTACTCTTTAGGACTTACAACAGATACTGAAATTTTTTGTTCCCCAAAGTTGATGCAAAGTAGCAATGAAGTGCAATCTTGGAAGTGTGGTTGTTAGCAGTGCATTTATCACATGTTTCCTAGCCTCTGCATGTGCGGAATGCGTGACCAAATCCTTGGCATTAGAAACAGTGTCTGGGGTTGGAAATGTGTGGTCTGACATTGATTTTTACATACCCAGCTTTAATAAAAGTGGACATTTCCCTTGTACCAAAGGTAAATATTATATGTTTGGTAGGAATTTCCTCGTCATCAATGCAGATGAATATTTTCTGTACTTTTATCACTCCTTGATCTTGAAAACCCTCAAGGAGCTTTTAGTCACTTAGGATCAAGATGTCTTCTTCAGATATTACTCCCTTGCTAGTGTTCACGGACTTGTGACAGAAATTGCAACTGTAGCTTCTTCAATACAGGTTAGTTTAGATAACTTTGGCACTTAAGCTTTTTTGATTAGTTCTAGTAGAACATCCCCACTTGGCATTCTCGAGGCTTTGTCTTGTAATGATGCACAGTTGTACTAGGCTGGGATGTCAGCCATCTTCTTTATTTTTAACACCTTCTTCCTGTTCGTCTCCCTCCAACCCTGCCTAGCGTCCACGTACACTCCCCCTCTTTGAAGACTCATCCCTCCTGGGGTGATACATGAAGAGCTTTCCAATGGTCGCAAACTCCAGTACACCGTCATTATTGGTGTAACCAACCCTTTTGAGAATGCCATGTTGCCCTACGATCTGCACCATGCAATAAGGTCCTATGTAAATCTGCTTTGTGCTGGGAAGGCCTTTTCTGAAGAGCACCAGATCGTTCAGTTGCATCTGAGGTATCCGTGTGTTGTGGCGGCGGTCGAATTTTCTCTTCATATGTTCCCGGTATAGCTGGTAGGCTTCCGAAGTTTTGCGTTTTTCGCACAATTGCAGGTGGTCAGCAATTCAAAGTTCTTGACCAGCAGGAAGCACGGGTACCTTTCCAAAAGCTGCAAAATCTACAGCCGATCCTCGCAGTGTGCGACCAATTGTGATGAGCAACAGCTGTCTCCAAGCAGCACTTACATCCACCCTGAAAACCTGGGTACATTGAAATGAACTGCTGCAAATCCCGAATGATTCTTTCAGCCATGCCATTTCCTGCAGATAGGTACGGAGCGCAGAATCGCAATGCAACTCTTCATTCCTTCGTCCAATCTTCCAAACGCTGACTTAAAAACGCTGGTCCATTATCTGATATTACTATTTTCATATTCTTGAGCATCTCTTAGCTCAAAAGAGTGATCGCACTATTTGCGTCTTCCCTTCCCGGCCGTGCAGCCACTATTCTTGTACACTTGCTTGAAGTACACTTGCCAGATAGTTTGAGTGCTCTTCCTCGTTGCGGGAGTATACTATTATATCGTCTATGTAGACGTTGCAAAACTTCCCGAGAAACAGTTGCAAGACGTCATTCATCATTTTCTGGAACCAAGCGGGGGAAATTTTCCATCTAAATGGAAGTCGGTTATACTC